GTTTAATTTTTTAACATTGACAAAATGAAAGAAAAGAAGTGGTAATGAAAGGCAGTCACATCACAGCAGTATTGTTTGCCTGTTTAATCTAACATTTTACATTGAGAAAAAATGAAAGAAAAGAAGTGGTAATGAAAGGCAGTCCACATCACAGCAGTCACATGTTTGCCTGTTTAATTGTTTCTTTTAACATTGACAAAATGAAAGAAAAAGAAGTGGTAATGAAAGGCAGTCACATCACAGCAGTATTGTTTGCCTGTTTAATCTTAACATTGACAAAATGAAAGAAAAAGAAGTGGTAATGAAAGGCAGACACATCACAGCAGTATTGTTTGCCTGTTAATCTTTTAACATTGACAAAATGAAAGAAAAAGAAGTGGTAATGAAAGGCAGTCAACATCACAGCAGTATTGTTGCCTGTTTAATCTTTTTACATTGACAAAATGAAAAGAAAAGAAAATGAAAGGCAGACAAAAGAGTATTGTTTGCCTGGCAACATTGACAAAAATGAAAGAAAAAAGTATTATGAAAGGTCACATCACAGCAGTATTGTTTGCCTGTTTAATCTTTTTACATTGACAAAATGAAAGAAAAGAAGTGGTAATGAAAGGCAGTCACATCACAGCAGTATTGTTTGCCTGTTTAATCTTTTTTACATTGACAAAATGAAAGAAAAAGAAGTGGTAATGAAAGGCAGTCACATCACAGCAGTATTGTTTGCCTGTTTAATCTTTTACATTGACAAAATGAAAGAAAAAAAGTGGTAATGAAGGTGTCACATCACAGCAGTATTTGTTTTGATCTTTTACATTGACAAATGAAAGAAAAAGAAGTGGTAATGAAAAGGCAGTCATCACAGCAGTATTGTTTGCCTGTTTAATCTTTTAACATTGACAAAATGAAAGAAAAAGAAGTGGTAATGAAAGGCAGTCACATCACAGCAGTATTGTTTGCCTGTTAACTTTTTTAACAATTGAAAAAAAAGAAAAAGGGTAATGAAAGGCAGTCACATCACAGCAGTATTGTTTGCCTGTTTAATCTTTTAACATTGACAAAAATGAAAGAAAAAGAAGTGGTAATGAAAGGCAGTCACATCACAGCAGTATTGTTTGCCTGTTTAATCTTTAACATTGACAAAATGAAAGAAAAGAAGTGGTAATGAAAGGCAGTCACATCACAGCAGTATTGTTTGCCTGTTTAATCTTTTTAACATTGACAAAATGAAAGAAAAAGAAGTGGTAATGAAAAGGCAGTCACATCACAGCAGTATTGTTTGCCTGTTTAATCTTTTAACATTGACAAAATGAAAGAAAAAGAAGTGGTAATGAAAGGCAGTCACATCACAGCAGTATTGTTTGCCTGTTTAATCACAGCTTTAACATTGACAAAATGAAAGAAAAAGAAAGGGTAACAGAATTGTTTGCCTGTTTAATCTTTAACATTGACACATCACAGCAGTATTGTTTGCCTGTTTAATCTTTTACATTGACAAAATGAAAGAAAACAAAAAAAGTACAAAGAAAGTTTGCCTGTTTAATCTTTGAATTGACAAAATGAAAAGAAAAGAAGTGGTAATGAAAGGCAGTCACACAGCAGTATTGTTTGCCTGTTTAATCTTTTACATTGACAAAATGAAAGAAAAAGAAGTGGTAATGAAAGCGCAGTCACATCACAGCAGTATTGTTTGCCCATTGACAAAATGAAAGAAAAGAAGTGGTAATGAAAGGCAGTTCACAGCAGTATTGTTTGCCTGTTTAATCTTTAACATTGACAAAATGAAAGAAAAAAGAAGTGGTAAATGAAAGGCAGTCACATCACAGCAGTATTGGCCTGTTTAATCTTTTAATATTGACAAAATGAAGAAAAAAGAAGTGGTAATGAAAGGCAGTCAGCATCACAGCAGTATTGTTTGCCTGTTTAATTTAATTTTAACGATGACAAAAAGAAAGAAAAAGTGAAGGGTAAAAGGAGTCATCACAGTAGTATTGTTTGCCTGTTTAATCTTTAACATTGACAAAAAAAAAAAAGAAGTGGTAATGAAAGGCAGTCACATCACAGCAGTATTGTTTACCTGTTTAATCTTTAACATTGACAAAATGAAGAAAGAAAAGAAGTGGTAATGAAAGGCAGTATTCAGTATTGTTTGCCTGTTTAATCTTTAACATTGACAAATGAAAGAAAAAGAAGTGGTAATGAAAGGCAGTCAATCACAGCAGTATTGTTTGCCCTGTTTAACATTGACAAAAATTGAAAAATGAAAGAAAATTCAACTGCAGTAAGCTGTTTAATCTTTTTACATTGACAAATGAAAGAAAAGAAGTGAAAGGACATCACAGCAGGTTTGCCATCTTTTACATTGACAAAATGAAAGAAAAGAAGTGGTAATGAAAGGCAGTTCACAGCAGTATTGTTTGCCTGTTTAATCTTTTACATTGACAAAAGAAAGATAAGCAAAGCAATCAACATGACAGCAATATTTTTGCCTGCTTAATCTTTTAATGCTGACAAAAAAGAAAGAGAAGTGATAGGTAAAAGAGAAGCATCACAGTAGTACTGTTTGCCTGCTTAATCTTTTACATTAGCAAAAGAAAAAAAAGAAAGTGGCAGGCAAAGCACAGTCAACATAACAGCAAGTTAGCAGTACAGTGTTCATAACACATGATAAAGAATATTCTACTTTTAGTCATACATGCCATATGTGATACATGCTTGGGCAATCATATCTGTTTAAATTCATAATTGACTAGGTAGAAGATTTTCTGCAGTAGGCTGCTGTCTCTTGCGCAGTAGACTGATTTACAACCAAGGCTATGGGGGCTTGTCTGTCCTGTTTAATCTTTTACATTGACAAAAAGAAAGATAAGCAAAGGCAATCAAGCATGACAGCAATATTTTTTTTTTTTGCTTAATCTTTAATGCTGACAAAAAGAAAGAGAAGTGATAGGTAAAAGGAGTGAAGCATCACAGTAGTACTGTTTGCCTGCTTAATTTTTACATTAGCAAAAGAAAAAAAAAGAAAGTGGCAGGCAAAGACAGTCAACATAACAGCAAAGTTAGCAGTACAGTGTTCATAACACATGATAAAGAATATTCTACTTTTTAGTCATGCCATATGTGATACATGCTTGGGCAATCATATCTGTTTAAATTATAATTGACTAGGTAGAAGATTTTCTGCAGTAGGCTGCTGGTCTCTTTGCGCAGTAGACTGGTTGCCAACCAAGGCTATGGGGGCTTAGTCTGTCCTGTTTAATCTTTTTTACATTGACAAAAAATAAGCAAAGGCAATCAAGCATGACAGCAATATTTTTTGCCTGCTTAATCTTTAATGCTGACAAAAAGAAAGAGAAGTGATAGGTAAAAGGAGTGAAGCATCACAGTAGTACTGTTTGCCTGCTTAATCTTTTACATTAGCAAAAAGAAAAAAAAAGAAAGTGGCAGGCAAAGACAGTCAAGCATAACAGCAAGTTAGCAGTACAGTGTTCATAACACATGATAAAGAATATTCTACTTTTTAGTCATACATGCCATATGTGATACATGCTTGGGCAATCATATCTGTTTAAATTCATAATTGACTAGGTAGAAGATTTTCTGCAGTAGGCTGCTGTCTCTTTTTGCTTAGTAGACTGGTTTGCCAACCAAGGCTATAGGGCTTAGTCTGTCCTGTTTAATCTTTTACATTGACAAAAGAAAAAAAGAAAGATAAGCAAAGGCAATCAAGCATGACAGCAATATTTTTTGCCTGCTTAATCTTTTAATGCTGACAAAAAGAAAGAGAAGTGATAGGCAAAAGGATGGAATATTCTCCACTGCCTTATTGAACTCACATATCTCTTTATTCCACTGTGCCATAAGCAAAGGTGTCAATATTTTCTGCTTAAGGACACATGGCACAGTGCAAATCAAAAGGCACATGATAAAGAATATTTTGGTTAGATCCAGTGACAGGACCCAAGATGATTACAATATTTTTTGCTCGCTTAAAAGAGTGTGAGTACAATACACAGTGGTTAAAGGCAGTGGAGAACTTTCAGAGGGAAATTAACATTAAAATTAACATCCATTAAACATGGCATGTGGAACTAGAACAGTATACTCCAGTGAGCTTAAATAAAGAGTTCAGTTTGACATTCCAACCACCTGAAGAAGGCCAGAGTGTACAACGGCCGAAACATTGTAATAAATATGGCAACAAAGAGGAAGACAATAGTCTGAATAATGTAAATATTGTACATAATACCTCATCTCAGAAATATAGACAGATACTGAAGTTGCTAACGGTTTCTCTTGTTCATGGAACTTTCATTTGGCTTCTTGCTTCCCAGTCAACATTGATCTTCAAAAATTTTAATGTAATGTCAATCATTATCTTCTTTCTTCTTAATTCTTGTTCTTTTTCTTTAATAATATTTTCTTTTTTTCATATTCTCTCACACTTGGTAACTCTTTGCGTATAAGTGGCTGACTTGGGATGAAAATTAAAACAAAAAAATAACTAGGATATGCAGCATAGTGTAATGGACAATGGCTCAGAATAAGAAATTGGAGAGCTGAGTTTGAATTCCAGTCGGGTTCATTACAATCACTTATGTGAATATACCCTTGGGAAAGATATGAATCTATCTCTTCTCTCCAAGCTATGGGTTGAATAGCTGGACAGACTGGGCCCTATAGCCTTGGTTGGCAACCAGTCTAATGCAGAAAAAATAACAGCCTACTGCAGGAAATCTACCTAGTCAGTCATGAATTGAAACAGACATGATTTCCTGAGTGTTTATTATTTATGGTATGTATGCTTGAGGTGAAATGATTTAAAAGAAAAAACGGAATCTGACACAGCACCACTTTCTTTCCATGACTTTCTAGCATGAAATCTCTAAGACTATGGCTACTATGAAAAATAATGTTGAGGAAGCAAAAAGAAGCTTAGTTTCATGCTGTTCCCAAGAGAAAAATGATGTCAGTGCATCTAAAATATGAACTGAAATTCTAACTACCTTGACTGGCCACTGTCAACATCGGTACCACACAGTTGATCACAAGCCATAATCTTCACCACGGCTCCTGGGTTGTAGGTTTCAAAAATCTTTATTTCTGTGGGGTAGACTGCAGATTTGAATTGAATTTCTGCAATTAAAGACAAGATCTTATATCAATATGCATTATTAGGTTAACATCAATAAAGTGGAATTTTTTATATCATTTCACTCCAAGCAAGGCAATAAAGTCACTAAGATGCAATGGGTAACTGAGTGAGAGAGAATATGAAGAAAATAAATTATTAAAGAGAGAGAACAACAAAAGAACAGAAGTTAAGAGGAAAGAAGATTGATATTGCATTTAAATTTTGAAGATCAAAGTTGACTGATAAGCCAGAAGAGTTCCACAAGCAAGAAGTGCTAAATAAGAAACAGCAATTACCATGAAAGTACTGACAGAAAAGGCACAGGGAAGATACATTACAATGGTGGAAAAGTGACTGAAGTGAAGATGTCAGGACCAATAACATTGTCGATACTTTTTTGTATTTTATCAAGAATCTCTAAATACATAGCAGAAGCATAAAACCAGATGTGGCAGCAATATTCAATGCATGGATGAATGAAAAAAAATTGTTCTGATGAGCTTTCTTCCTTGGTGTCTCAACTGCATGAATTTAAGTATACTACTAGATTGGCAACTAGGTCTCATTGTTTTATTGTTGAACTAGCTAGCTGTACCCATATGTTCATTTTTAATAATTTAATTTCTCAGATTTCTCACCTATGAAACTCTTTGAGTGTCTTGCTTTCCTACCACTTACAATGTTAAAAAACTTAAATGCAATGCCAATCACAATCTTCTTATTCAGTTTAACTCCCAGTAACATCTTGTATCTTAGTGGCATTATTGCCTTTCTGGGGTGAAATGAACAGCATCGAGAAATATGCATCTTGACAATTAAAACAGAATATGCAAAAACTGAGCCACTTTGAACAATTTTTTAGCATATTTTTTTTCTTTTTTTTTACTAAATGTCCACACAGAACAATGCCCAAGAGGTAGAGGATTACTGAGTGAGGTTGTTGTATGGATGAATGAGGAGGAAGTAAGTGCTAATCATGATGATAAGTAGGAAATATATTGATTGATCCTAGACTTGGAGGTTAAGATTGTATTGATCAAGGAAGCATCCTCTTGGGAGTGTGTTCTACAAAGCAGCATTTCCCAGGAAGAAGCTATACAAATGGAACTTCCTTCTTACCAATGGAATATGAAGAGAATGAGGATGATTCAACTGTGGCATGACATATCCTATCTGCAAAGTTTTGAAATGGTAAGGAATGTAGATAGTCTGAACCTTTGCCATGGAAGTAGCAATAAGCTTGCAACATTTCATTTGTGATAAAGGGGCTGTAGAGTTGAAAATAATTCTTCATCTACAAAGTTGAATAAACACTTTTGAATTGTCAAGGCTAGAAAGGATTATGCAGCTCCAGCCCAGATATGACATCAATATTTTTGGTTTGGTCTGATCTAACTCATGTAAAGACAGTGCATAGCAGGAGGAGTCAAGTACTTTCTGGAACACTACAAGGAACCAATCATTTTCCCAGCATCTTTAGTAATGGATTGTATATATGTGAGGCCTGGAGTGAACTTGAATCTCAACAGATGTTCAAAGCAATAAGCTTCATTAAGAGTAAAACCGTTTATCAAGATTGATTTATTTGTTTAACAGCATATCAACTGTTTATGGGTCATTTAATGCCAAAACTTAATTTCCTTGGAAGCTTTGAAGTAATAAAAATATATGTTATTCTGCTTTCACAACTGAATCAGTTTTTGTGCATATACATGTTTCTGTGGACATAATGATTAGAGGTGATTATATGTGTTTTATTTTGCAGTTTTGTTGAATTTATATTTTGAAATACAGTTTGATTTCTTTCAGAAATTGTAGGATATTATATGGATTAATGTCATGAAAGAGTTCTTTGATGTTGGTTGTTTGGTTAATTGATTTTGCTTAGTGGCATATCAACCTTTATGGGTTATTTAATGCCAAAATCTAAATATTTATGTATTATCCTTAAAGAAGTTACAAACAGACAAATGTGACACTCGAATGAAGGAACGGCAACTTGTACATAGATGAAAGAAAGAGAGGTTTATTCTAAAAGAGAATACACTACTGAAATACAGGGAATCAGGTGGCAGGCTAGTAATTCCCAAAGCAAGGGTATTTACCTTACCTCCCCACAAGGCAGTATGTGGCACAAGGCCGTTTTTCAATGCAGGGCAAAACCGAGCCCATAGGCTTGGGCAAAAATTCCCCACACACCCTGTATACACAGGGTCAGGTAGCTGTCTACCACCCCAGACAAGACTCTGCCCTTCAGATAGCCTCATCTGAGTTTCTTTCTGCTTAAAGGCAGAGAGTTCAACCAGCACAGCTGGAGACGAATCTCCAACTAATTCCCGAAGCATGTCTCCAGGTATATCCTGTGCTCACTATATATAGCTACTGATATAGTCAGTCCACATAGGTGATAGGGAATGTGGGACATTCCATTACAACAATTTTGAACACAACTGTATGCCTTCAACTAGAAAAAATTTATTGTTGGTCATTTTGCTGTAAAATGTATTATTGGTAATTTTACTATAAACATGTAGTGTTGGTAATTTCTTTAATATATATAAATATACTGCTGGTATTTTTACTATAAAAACATATTTTTATACCTTCCTAGTGTTTTGTTTTTGTTTGGGGTTCACTGACCATGGCTGGGACCCTAACAGTTGCTACCACCCCAGGTCAGAGTTGACCTGGGAACAACCACAAGTAACAGGTGGTTCCATACTCCTCAAAACCTCCAATGTTCCAATCAGAGGCCTCAATGCCACATGTAGTTTATGTTCATACCCAGGAATCGTTCTTGTGATTAATTTATTATTGAGTGCTTTTCTGATTCTGTATGTAATGACAGTTAAGACATCAGCAGCGCTTTTTTTCTTCTTCTGCATGCAATGCCAATCATGGCTCTCCACAACTACCTGTCCTTTGTAGCCATTTGAATTTCTGGTATGAGGAATTATTATTTACATTATTTACTTGGACAAATGTCCTCATCTTTGGTGCTATTATCACAACTTTTCCACTGTTGTGCCACCTGACATTTCAGTGATCTTTATTTTAGGTGTCAAGCCTTCATTCAAGTTTCTCCCTAATAACAAAACAGAGTGAACATTCTATCACAGTCATAACACATTCATTCCAAACTGATACAAATACCACACTGGTTATTTCTGAACTTTTAGTCTTTTTTACTTTGAAATGACCAATGGTAAATGGCTGAAATATTCAAATAGTGACATTTAATTTTACCAAGTTCCTTTACAAGTTTCAACCTGAAAAAAACTAATTTGAAAGACTTAATAGACTTTCTGATGTGACTCATTTACATATGAAATCACAAAGACTATAAATAGCTACAGCTATTACCTATGAGGCAGTTGAGTGCATACTGCTTTCTGTAAGTCAGTAACACTATACTTTCGTTGTCAGTTCTCTTTAATAGAATCTACTTAAATCACCTATTTGTTATGGTCCAATATCCTCGCACCACAGTTATGGTCCAAGGTTAGAACCAAGGAAGAACAACACGAACACAGGAGTAGAATAACAAAGATATATTACAACAGAAATATAGTACAAGAAGTTGAAGGTGTTAGTAATGACTGTCTGTCTGGTTTAGAGTGAACTAATATTGTCTCGACTCGTTACACCGTTCATTCATTATACCTCTTGAGAGGCACAGTATTTATAGTGTCAGGAAGAGTCCATTATCATTATAGGTAAGTTCCCTGACACTATTATTCAATAGATTTTTTCTGTCTTCTAAAAATAATGTTTTCAAAGAATTTAAACATTTTTTATATCTTGTAAATTTCAAACAAATTTTTTTAGCAATTTCTTTGTTAATTTAACCAGCAATAATCTTTAATATTGATTCAATTGAAATCCATCAGCTAAACAAAACATTTTTAAATGAATTTCTATAAAAATAAAGTTATGGCAACAATTTTCTGCATTTGTTTTGTTTTGTTTTCTGCCCATCCATATGTTGAGAGCACTCATCCCAATTGAGAGAAAACTTGTGTTAGATAGCTCTCCCAGCCCCAGACACACACTATTAGCTAATACCTACCCAGTATCGGTCATATGCAAATTGTAATCCCCCTCCCACCTACTGTAAATAGAATGTCATCTGTCAACAGCCATTCGTGTCCTGGTGCATACTGCATCACACGCAACTCTCTTTTTGGGTTGACCCAATTCTCTGTTACACTTTCCTTTACATTTTTATAGTAAAATCATTTGCAATAGATATGAAAAAGAAATTGTTGGTAATATTTGTCTATTATCAAAATCATTAACAACACTTTTCTGTTGTTAAAAATATAATTCATACAAAATCCCATTAAGACCTGGAAAAACTACTGTTACTCAACTTACCAACAAAATCATCACTACAGAATTTTGCTGGAATCCTTCCAAATTGCTTGCTTGCTGATGGAGCCACAGACCACCAAGTACCATAGGTACGCTGCAATAAGGGGTAAAAATAGGCCTCAATATACAGTATTAAGATAAAAAAAAGATTTTATATATCATAATTTTCTGTTGGGTACAAAATTTTATTATAGAAATAAAAACGGTAAGACCAATTTTACTTTTCATGATAAAAAAAATTATAAAACAAACACAGCTGACTGGTTTTGCCCTCACTCAACAGAGCTGGAATCAAGAGATTATATATCACAATACAAAATAAAAAAAAACAAATAATATTCAATATTAAAGGTGGAATACAATCTAGATTGAAATTACGTCAAGTCCTAACAGACACTACCTCTGTTTACAGAGAAAGGGCTGTCTGGACTGGATGTAAATTGTTTCGAACACCTTCAACTGAAAAAAGTGAACAAGCATGATGCAAGATTGTAAAAGAGTCCACACGAAGTTGATGGCACAATTTAGGCTTTTAATGAAGTGCTCCACAATGGCAGAACCATGCGTGCCATATATATATATATATATATATATATATATATATATATATAAAATATAGAAGGCTCAAACATCATGGAATATTAGTGTTTGAGCCTTCTATATTATATTCTTGCTCTGTCCTGAACATTGAGTTCTATCTGGATTCTATCTTCTTGGATATATATATATATATATATATATATATATATATATACATATAAATATAGATAACTAGACTTGTTTGAAAAACCCTCGAATCTTTGATTTGCTAATCAAATCAATCTCGAGAAAAAAAAAGGTTTAAAAAAGAAAGAGCTACAAACATGAACTTCTGTTGACAAAAAATCGCACAGATGCAGGTCTGAAGCCCAAAAAAAAAAAAAACCCCGATACGAAAGTAAACAACTAACTAACAAAAGAGCTCAATACAACCGTAGAGCAGACCTAAATACACCTAGTGACAGACAAACCTACCTAGGTTTCACCTAAACGGATTGTCAGGAAAGTTTGGCAAAACCAAAGCCAAACTTTCCTGACAATCCATTTAGGTGAAACCTAGGGTTAACTCACTAGGTGTATTTATTTATATATATATATATATATATATATATATATAGATAGATCATGAGACAATGCTGTATTTACTAATTATCTCCCTTGTTTCAGAACTAACTCATAACAGAATTTAATTTATAATTTTCTGATCAATCAAATGAATTTCTGCCTGATTTTTTTAAGACCTGAGGCTAAAATGCACTTATAAAAACAACCACGATGAAGCTACTGGTTCTGAAAGTATTATTTTGTAATTTTCATACATACCAGACACATTAACAATAAAAAAGGAATTTTTGCCAGCTGATCCAAATCACATGAAACATCAATATACACATTTTTACACTATTTCATTGTTTAGATTGTTGTTCTTATCTTTATTGTCATATTCACAACATTTCGGCCATTGTACACTCTGGCCTTCTTCAGGTGATATATGTTGGAATTTCGAACCGAACACTTTATTTTGTCCACCAGGGTTCTACTTCCAGTACCCATGTCTTTTCTGGATATCTTAGTTTCAGTTATTTCCCTTCAGTAACTCAACTCTCCAAAGATATATGACCCAGTGGATAAAAGCATTGGTTGGTTAGAGTAACCTAGTGACTTGACTCAAAGAGTTGTGAGTCCAATATCTGGCCACAGCAGAAGTGGACAAAAACTTGGAGAGTTGAGTTAAATCATAAACATTACATTGTATTAGTTGGTTCACATTTTAAAAATGTTGTAAATATAAAATTATTCTTGTAAATAAAGAATCCAATAAATAAATAGTGTTTAATATTTTTGTTGTAAATTCTCAAGAACGAAGAAAATGTATAAATTCATTTTATCTGTTTGGGTTTTATTAAAATTCCAATCAATTTAGTTTCATAAAATGAAATGATATCAATATGACAAACATATTTATTCGACTTTGCAAGAAGTAAAGCAAGGAAAAGAATGTTTTAGTTTGTGTCATTGTCTTTCAAGTAGATAACATGTTTGATTTTACTTCAGAATTTTTAAATCTTAGACATTTTTATAAAGAAGTGATTTTAATTTTCTAAATGTTATAACTTCTAAATATTTTCATAAACTGAAATGATATCAATATGACTAACTCATATTTATTTTGAGTTTTATTATTATAATACTGGTTATAAATAATCTGCTTTTTTTTTTACTACGGTTATGTAAAAAATATGTGCTAATTTGGTTTTCAATAAGTAGTAAAATACTGGTATTTCTTAAAGAATAGATATTCTAGTTTATATAAAGAATTTGCAATAAGTTTACTTCAAGATATGCAAATTTTGCTAAAATATATCACAAGTAAAAAATACAGGTGCAGGCGAGTTAAAGAGTGGCTTTACCTGAGGTACCCCATAATTTCATTAGCCTGCATTGAACCAATAAATAAAAAAAACATCTTGAAATTGTCACAGATATTAGTGTTGATGTGTTAATAGTATAACATTCATCAGCATTGAAAGGGGAAGAAGCAAGTAGAGTTAAAATTCCAGCTTAATCTTTAACTTTCACTTTCACATTAATGTTCTTGGGCAAAATATAAGTTGACAGCTATAATATAGCTGTCAACTTTCAAGCCAGGACAGGTGAAGGACAACTTTGAATTCAAAACCATAAAAAAGCAATGAAAAAATAACACCACTAGCTTTATCAAAAGTTAGGGAAATTCACAGATGATGATGATGATAACAATAAAAAAAATCTATGAAGAGCCAAAATTGCCTACGACCTAGAAAAAAAAAAACGCCATTAAGATATAGTTGTCCAGTTGTCCCTGGTTACATCATGGGAGAGATATTGCCAGAAAGTTAGAACCTCAATTAATTTTGATTCCCATTTGCAAATGGAAAGGAACCTGGTTCTAAGATTAATAATAACCAAACCTCTGAAATGAGACTTGTAATTTTAAGGCAGTACTTAAATAGACTGGTTAAAAAATTTTTTTTAAATATATGCAGACATAAATGACATTACAACACTTGACATTTGTAAGATTCAATAACTCTGAAAAAGTTAGGCACCGATTTATCTGTATAGATATTATAAACAGGGCTCCCTTCTAAATGATAAAAAAAAACAATATTTTTTTTATTCTGACAAGTGTCATGACTCAAGGAAGGTTTAAAGTAAGCACCTCCATAGATTCACTAAAAAGTGAGCATACCATGATGAAAAAATGCCCCAAACTTAATAAAAACAAAGTTTTACCATCAAAATTTTTACTTTATTAAGATGCAAGATCAAAGGATTTTTGATTAATATTTTTTTATCCTTTTTAGAATATTCAAAATTTTAGTTAAATATCTTACTAGCTTTATTTGTATCAATAGGGGGCAAAAATTAGTATACAAAATTTTAGCTTCTTTTTGTGTTGAAAAATACATTGATTTGGAAATTCTTGTAAAAATCAAATAATTGTCGAATTTTAATGAAACGTTCAGAATTTATTCACAAATGAATGAAATCATTTTAGAAATGTTTCTTTTTTAAAATTTCAATAAAATATTAGATTACGGAGAACATTTATTTAAATTTTAAAGTTTAGTGGGTAATTAACAGTTATATAAAAAAGGGGTTCACATTATATTCCTCAGGTAATTTTTACAGATATGTCTATCCCTGTAGACAAAAATTAAATAAACTTCCGGCTGTCAGTCAAGCTGTCAACACCTTAAACACCTACCTCCAAGTTAAAAATGAATCTCTTCGATATTTTTTAAACTAAAAGTAATATTTGTTTCAAATCAGATTAATTAACCTTTAGGCTTTAAGTCAGAAGTTTCAGAAAAGTATATTTTTATTTTTGAAAGATTTTTATTTTAATAGAATTACATTATGATGACAGCTAAAAATTGCGAAAATCATCAATGTTTTTTAATTTTATTTTTAGCCATTTAAAAAAAAATCCTTCCAGTCAATTTAAATTAGTTTTGAAATACAGCAAAGTATATTTTATTGTTTATTGGAAATATTAAAAATCTACTAGCTTTTAAGATTAAAACAAAAATAACAGGTTCACGAAATATTTTCCATTTTTTTAAATAAAATAAGGTATTATTGCGTTTCTCCAATGCAAAAATTATTTTCCTATTTTTTTTTTTAACGAGTGAACCATTATGATTAAATAGTACCAATTTAAACTGAATAATAAAAAAAAAGTAGTAAAAAAATATGATAAATAAAAAGCTAACTTTTTTAAAAATTTATTTTTAGTGAAGTTCTTTGAACCGTATCTTACCATTTAAATCAAGTGATCCTGAAATACAAGAGAAAGAAGAAAAATGCTTACAAAGACACAAGTCCGTGTGGAATCACCGTGATGCGGAAACACATAGGGTGGCCCTATCAGGTTACCAGCAGCATAAGATATACTTTTGTCAGCTCCATACTGCGAGCTGAATTTAGTCACCTTGCAGACATACTGCTCTACAATTTGGCACTCTGGTGCCCCTGCATGATTTTGGTTACAGTTTTCAACGCATCCCGTTCGTTCACAGTTTTCACATTGAGTGTCATTCCTCAGTGGGTTCGCTCCAAGCTTGCAACAACCACGCCAAGAACACATGGGACTCATATAATTAGGTTAATTAAATTTACAGCAGGCAAATTCAAAACCTTATAAAAATTCAAAAACCTAAACTTTGTTTGAAAATATTCGAAAACTAAAACATTTTCTTAAGACTTCTTAAGTGATGATGTCTTTAAAAAAGAAAAAAGAAAAACTTAAATAAAATTTAATTCAGAACTTCTTTTCTATTTTTTTTGTTCTTGTTTTTCTCTTGGATTTCAAAAAAAAAAAATTTAATTAAATCATTTAGTGATGTAAAAAGTTCGATTAATAAAATAAGTTTTTTTATGACTACTAAAAACTAAAATGTTTGAAAATTTTTCAAACTAGACTGATGATTTTTTTACGGAAATTAAGAAAAATATACATATTGAAATAAAATTAAACGAATCGTTAACTAACTAATATCGTGTGTCGGAATTCGAAACACGAAAACAATCTTCTTACTTTGATATCGCTCTTAGTCTTAAATTAAAGAAAACAACATTCATTGCATAAACAAACTGTAAAAAATGCTTCAATTCTTGTCAGACAATCTATTCAAAGTGACCGAAAAAAGAGCAAACAACTTAAGAAATGTTTTAAAAGTTTGGCATGGAAAATGAACGACTGTTGCTTATTTGTGTTGACCTGGGGGTATATTTCTTAGTTACAAGAGAAACAAAACAAACAGGAGACTGTCTAGGCGTGCGCATGACGCCATTGTTTAAAGAGAGATAAGGCCTGACTTCCGAAATGCAAGGGGGTTAACTCATTTCATATGAAATATTTATCGTGTTGGCTCAGTGGAACAGCAACTGACTGATGATCAGAGGTTAAGCTTGCAACAGACAGCACTATCATCATAAGCGCAAAACTTGAAACTAAATTAGGTCACTAATTAAGATTTGCATCAGAATTGTTTTTGTGAAAAATTTGATATTTTAATATCAGTCAGTTATGTGCCATGCATGATACACACTTAGGCGATCATGTATCTTTTGATACATGACTGAAGAGGCAGACTTTTTCCTACAGTAGGTTGCCATTTCTTTCTGCGGTAAATCAGTTGCCATCCAAGGCTACTCGGTCTGTCCTGCTATTTACCCATAGCTGGGGGGGGAGAAGAAGAGGATTCATACCTTTCCCAAGGGTATTGATATTTACTTGACCCCCCCCCTACTGAATCAGCCTTTCCCAAGGGTATTAGCACGTAAGTGAATGTAATAGATTCAACTGGAATTTGAAGTTGGCTCTCTGATTCGTCAATCGGAGCCGCTATCCATTACTCCACCGTGCCTCCTCTATTTTAATATATTTTTCTTTTCTTGCATGCATATAGATATTTACTCTACTTAATTTAGACATGATGATAGTGAGACACCAAGTGAGGATTGAACTTACCATACTAGCATGTGATAATAGCTTACTAACAATTTCACTATGTGTATACATGTGTAAGGTTGATGTAAACGTTCTTATCATGTTTTAACAATATTTTTTTATCATACCAATTCATAGCATTATTATGAGAACATCAAATTATTTTCCCTGAATTTCTTAGATCATCTTTCAGGTAAACGTTGTATTTCTTTATAAAAGATCATTTCTAGTTTAAGAAATGTTTCTATATCTTGAACTTTTTAGAAATTGCTGACTATAACACAACTGCTATTTGACTCTCATCTGGGGTCCGCTGCTTAGGTGTTTCACTCTGTCAGTCAATCTTCCCTACCTAGGTTGTTTTTGATCAGAGGAAGTCTTAAGTGAATCTGGTTGAAAGAGTGAAGTGGGGTGAATTAGAAGAAAAATAAAGTGACTTTCAGAACAGAAAACCAATTCTTCCTTCTAGTGATAAAGTGTTTAATATATATTTATATATATATATATATATATATATATATATACAAATTCACCCCATCAAGGCAGTAAAAGCCATTAAGACATTAAGATACAAGGTGTTACTGATTGTGGAAGAATTAGAAAAGAAAAACATTAAAGGAGTAATCAGGAAGACAGCAGATAATGATTGGCATTGTATTTAAATTTTTGAAGATCGAAGTTGGCTGGAAAGCATGGAGCTGGAAGAGCATTCCACAAGCAAGAAGTGCAAGAAAAAACTGTTAGCATAAAACTTAAAGTTACATCTAGCCAATTCAACTGTAAATTGATGAGATCTTGTTACCAATCTAATACTGCGCTTAAATTCATAAAGTCTAGGTACCATAGTGAAGAGTTCATCTGAACAAATATTATGAAAGTATTTATAGAAAAGGTGCAGAGAATCAGCTTTACGGTGGTAGGAATGTGACTGAAGTTGAAATGCCAGGTCAAGGCCAATAATATTGATGATTCTTCTTTGGATTTTACCAAGTATCTCTGAATATAAAGCAGGAGCACTGGTCCATATGTAGCAACAATATACGAAGTGTGGATGATTAGTAGACTTAGAGATATGTAAGATAGATTCTGGAAAGAAAAATTGTCTACTACAACACAGTGAACCAACTTTCTTAGCAGAAGACCTAGCAACGTATTCAATATAGTCTCACCATTTCATGTCAGCCAAGAATCTTAACCCAAGAAGGTGTATCAAATCACACTCCTGGATGTTCGCATCAGCCATGCTGATGGAAAAGTTTATTTATCAAGGATTACAGTTACGTTCAGATTATTGTACAGGATTATTTATCAAAGATTACAGTTATCAGATTAACCCTACCCAATTCTGTAATTCTGTGGTCTACCTAAGTATGGCCAGTTTGTGAGTAAGTAGGTGTCAGTCTTATTCACAATTATAAGTGCAAAAGGACTGACCATAACTGGCGACTGAAAGTCAGTTTAGAAATTTAAACAGGAAACTTTTGTCTTGGGTCTGCAGATAAAGTTGGTCTCCAACTTTTCCATTCAATCATCAGTCTGCAAACAAAAAATTCTTAGGTTAGGAAAAATTTCTTCATTTGATAAAATTTTTCTCAACAGTATGTTGCAAAGGGTGATAATAGGTGGTGAAAACTACATTTCATCCCAAATGTCTTTTGTTTAACTGCTCCAAATTGTTAACTAGTAGTTGATTCAACAATTCAAACACAGAAATTTGGTCTTGGACTTGCAGACAAATTTTGTCTCCCAAATTTGGTATTCAACACATTGATTAGTATGTCAACTACTCTTTTCCATTTCATCTTAACAGTCTATGCCTGACAGTCCCATCTTCATAACTAGGTCCCTATATTTATTAGAAATATGTTTCTTTCAGGTGTCAGGTTACAAGTCAATTTGTATATGGGCATAACAGCAGAATTAGGGGAAGGGCTTTCATGATTTCATTCTCCAGCCTCTCACTGTTTAGGTTAGCCAAATTTTTGACTCCAATAGACAATCAAGGTAGAATGGCAAATAGTGTGAAAAAGTAACAAAATTCATGACTGAATCTTGACCAGGGGATGGTTCAACTGATTTATTACAATTCTCATTTTTCTAGCACCAAATAGGAGTGAAGAGTGGTGGCTCTTTGTTTTCCTGGATACTAATAGCTGAAAAACTTTTAAATCATGAATTCAGTTTCTTAGCATTTTTGAATACTAATTCAATTTATTGTAATTAAATGCTTTTCATTTCTTCACCAGCCCACTAGAAAAGCCGGACCTTGGCATACTTCTGGTATGCTAGTAAAATCTAAACTACCTAGCTTGTCTATCTAGGTTTTTCATGCCAATTTCTCAAGTTAATTCCTATTCCAATGAGTACCAAGTATAGATTTACTCATTTGTAAGATCCACGCCAATAACTCTGTTAGTGACCAGATAAAGTATGTTGTATAGAGTGGTTATGCATGATTGACTGAGATCTGGAAAATATGCTTTGTGTAGAATAATTTCCCCTCCCAGCTACATAATCATCTGTAATAGAAAGTGAATATTATATATATATATATATATATATATATATATATATATATATATATATATGAACTGACCAATATACCAGCATCTTTCATGATGGATCATATGTAAAAGTTCCATTTGAGGTCTGGGTTGATTTTAACTCCCAAGAGGCGCCCAAGGCATGAGGCTTTTCCTTGAGAGAACACCTGATCATCACGATAAGTGAAAATTCTGCTTGGTGATGAAAGAACATCACTCGTTTGGTTTTTTAAGGCATTGAATGCGTTTAGCCAATTTTTTCCACTGTTATTGTCTAATGCAAAATACAACCAAGTCATATGGCTGATAATTAAAACCTTATGGCATGTGACATTGAAGAGATATGCCACATACCTCACACTTACTTAGATAGGTGAATTGCTTTGATATTTGGGTGCTTCACAATTTAATAGAAAAAAATGGATTGTATTTCCATTTGTGTATCTCTGCTGAAATGTGACAAACAAACCATTTCTTAAATGAGGAATGGATTTCTAGTGAGGTTGTTTTGGTGATGCATCAACTTTGTTTGAACGTACTTTATATATATATATATAATTTTGTTTTGGGGTTACGAAGACACCATCAGCCCCACAATGGAAATATATAAATTACAAGCAAATTATATACAAAATACAACAAAAAAATAAGATACAGCATAAGCAAAAATGACATAATGCTTTAATATACATTTTAGAGAAAAATTGTATATTTTAAAGAACATATGATGTATACAGAGATAAAAAGTTGGTAGCTCATGATGTGTCAGGAAGATGTCCCAGGACATCTGCTTTGTTTGGCCATTGAAAAGAAAGAAAATTTGTTTTCTTTATTTCAATTGACAGCAAAACGTCTGTTCTGATTCATAACAGGAGTTTTCAGTATTTATTTAACTATTTTTTTTATCATCTAACCTTTTCTTTCTTTATTTTCAATTGTCATTCTTATCTATAGTGTAAACTAATTTTATTACTTAACTTTTAATTTTTCTTTCACTATTAATTATTTTGGTTTCATTCATACTCTTACATAGTTTAGTACTAAGGGTTAAAAGTTATTTAGTGATTTATTTGTTGCTAATGCTTTAGATTG